TGCTGAACCATCGCTGCTTTTCTCTGTCCACCAGTGAAGCTCCCGGGTTTACCGAGCATGGGATCGGTTTAACCCTACAGGGATTAGGGGCCTGAAATAAAAAACAAGCCCTGCCCCAAACTTTCTGACATCCTCCTTGTGCGGGACGCTGGAGCAACAGAGTCCACCGCCCGACTGTGATCACTACAGAGGCGCATGCCGGGGCCTGTCAATGCTCCTGGGCGTCTGCTGGCCCCACGCATCTCTTTTTTCAGCAAAGGAAAACATGCAAAGCTAAGGAAAAATGTAATGCTGTAGAGTGAACAGGAGCTTACTGAAGGCAATGGAAAGTCTCCCAGTGTTTTCAGTAGGTCTTGAAAAACTAATTTTAGAATATCTGTGTTCACAGTCACTATAAACTAACATATTATTCGTAAGGTCAATCAAGTGAATACGTGCTAAGAAAACTCAACAGTAAAGCCTAGAAGAGCTGGTACAGTGATATAAAACCCAGTCCTTCATTTCTGCAAGCGGGGAGAGGTACCTCGGAACCTCATGGGAAGGGTAAAGATCTTTCAAAGATGCGGCTTTTTGCCTCTCACAAAATGACTTTCTGCTCTTAATTCGGCAGAAAAAGCTTTTTTGCTGGCGGATTTCGCGTTGGCTGAAGTCTGCGGTCACCTCTGAGGAGGGGGCCCTCCTCCTGGGGAGGGGACGGACGGCGTGCGGCCAGGTCGCACCAGTGCCAGCGTGTCAGCAAAGGTCTGCTACCGCAGGCAGAGAGCCGGCAGAGACCATAAAACCACATCGCCCGTCAGCCTGATGCCGTTCGCTCAGTACTAAAGCGGTCCTTTATTTCTGTACCCAATGCTGACTCCTGAACAGGCGGGAATGGCTCTTTCTGCCCATTTTTCACTTGTTATTCTTTGTTACATGAAAAAACAAACTGTCATCCTGGCTTAACGTTTCTTTTATATTTTAGTGCTGTGAAGATATGACTCCTGGCTACGAGAGAAAGTTGCTCACTTCTACGATGACAACTGCACCCTTTGCTAAGGTCAGTTTGAGAGCTCTTAAAATTAGATGCAAGCACACAAATTTTAAAATGGTATTAATAAATCAGCGTGTCGGCCTTGTGGTTCCGGTGCTACAGGTGACCTCTGTAATCCATATGAAACTCAGATGTCCTGTGCGTTTGTGCTCCTGCCCTCCTTTAGATGGAGGAAGAACTTCTTCACTCTGAGGGTGACGGGGCACTGGAACAGGCTGCCCAGGGAGCTTGTGGAGTCTCCTTCTCTGGAGATATTCAAGACTCGCCTGGACAAGGTCCTGTGCAGCCTGCTCTGGGTGACCCTGCTTCGGCAGGGGGTTGGACTGGGTGACCCACAGAGGTCCCTGCCAACCCCTACCATTCTGTGATTCTGTGATTCTGAGTAACCACGCACACTGCCCGTGTCCATTTTCACTGACGACTGCTGGGCAGGGAGTGGGTCTCAGACCAGTAGGTGCGATGGGGCTGGGTTTGCGTGCAGTTAGGTGTTGGCAGCGAAGGGGCAGGTGCTGCTCACAGACGTCCTGGGAAACACCTCTGATGGCAGGGGGAGATCGAGGCAGGGGTATTTGGGCTGCAGAGGAGGGGCAGTGCCTGTGCCAGCCCCTCCAGCCCGGCAGTGTCCCAGGCCAGGTGTGCTGGCTCCATGCTCGGCTCCAGGACGTTTGCTGCTCAGAGGGTACTGGATCCATGCCCTCCTCCAGGACGTTTGCTGCTCTGGGGGTGCTGGATCCGCGCTTGGCTCCAGGACATTTGCTGCTCAGAGGGTGCTGGATCCATGCCCTCCTCCAGGACATTTGCTGCTCTGGGGGTGCTGGCTCCATGCTCAGCTCCAGGATGTTTGCTGCTCAGGGTGTTGTGGTCCCAGGCGCGGGACTCGGCACGGGTGCAGGGAGAGGGAGCTGTGCGCAGCTGCTCACCTTTGCCTCGCTCAGCACGGGCTGGTTGCAAAGCAGACCCGAGCCAAACAACGCACGGTCATGTCTCAGTGTACTTCATGTGGCTCAAAATCCCCCAAACCCAGGACAATGATGTGAACTGTTAAGAGTGTTGCTTTCAGCAGGGAGACCTGTCAGATACTAAACACTTTCAAGTTCTGGCTTATGAGTAGTTGGAAGTGTAATTAATATTCACTGTAAACACACCGGTTAGACTTGATAACAAAGAATCACTAGCCTAGGAACACATACCCCAATTTCTCTGCATTTCGGTGTCAACTTAGTCTGAAAACAGCACTGAAATAGCACACACAGTAACGCTGGTGCGGTACTAACATTCCAAACTTTCCAAAACAACCGTCTGAGCAGCAACTCCAGTTGAAAAGCAACTTGGCTAAACCTTGAGGCTAACAAACTGCTTGATTAAATTAAGGGGTAAAAACTAATAAATATTCAAAACACTTGATAATGCTTTGTTTGACATAAAGAACATTTAATGCAAGTCTCACTGGAAAACCTGTCAGGTTTTATACCTTAAATAAGAGTTTTGCATTTAGAAACACCGAGTGATTCCATTTGCTGCCTTTGATTATTGTCTTCTGTCACTTTAATCATGCTGGTAAAATTACACGATTTCTGTGAAGTCAAATCCGTTTACAATGCAGTTTTAATATAGCTTTGCAGCGCATTCTTCTGTGCATTTTTATTTAGTTACTCCCTACCTAGCAGTACTTTGCTTTGTTCTTGAGCCCTCATTAGCCTGGGGTTTGCTCTAAAGCTCTCCCAGGGAGGAACTAAATAAAATACAGTTAACCCTATGCAAAGAGACGGTCTGGAACAACGGACGGAGCCCGGGCACAGCGCCGGCTGCCCCGAGCCTCTCCCAACCCTGCCAGCGGCTCCCTGCCCCGGCCGCTCC